GGCGGGGCGCGTGGTATTTGATCCAATCAGGGGGAAACGCGCGCCAGTTACGAGAGGGGTGGGGTGCTCCACCTGGCGGAGGGGTTGGCTGAAGGGCCTGAGCAGCAGCAGCAGCAGCAGCAGCAGCAGCAGCAGCGGCGGGTAACGGGTGGCGGCGGCCGCGAGTGGCTCAGTGCTCGGCGGCACTCGACGCGGATCAAACCCGCGCAGCACACGCGCACGAGCCTCTGCGCCTGGCGCGGGGGCCCCAAACAAGGGACTCATCAGCCAGCCCAGCCCCGCCCGGACCCGGCGCCCCTCATCACTTCCACCCGCGTGCCCACAAGCCTTCTCTCTCCACTCGTCTCACATTTTCGGCAGCGGCAGCAGCAGGTTGGCCCTCCATTAGTGCGCGCGGGTGTGCAGGAGGTGGAGGGAGGGGGGGGGGGCAGCAGGAGAGAGGCCGCCGTCAAAGAGTGCACACGGTCGGTGAGCTGGCCGTCAGAGCGCCAGGAAGGATGCCGTCAAGGAAACCTACCACCATACCGTTTCAGCAGAAGTCGACTTACGCGTCAAGGACACCTCGCTCCCAGCACACGCCCAGCCCAGCCCGACCCTCACGCGCCACCAGAGCAAATGAAAAGGCTAGGGAAGGAGGCCCTCCTCTCCCTCCTGCGCGCATGGCGACGAGAGGAGAAGAAGCAAGAGGGGCAGGGCGAGAAAAGGGTTGAGGAAGCAGCGGCGAGGCCGGGCGCAGCGAGATGCCGTTCTCTCTCTCTCTCTCTCTCTCTCTCTCTCTCTCTCTCTCTCTCTCGCCGTAATCCGATTCGTATCACTTGCTCTGAGTTATTGGTTTGCCGGTGATTGCGGCCCGAGCGTGAGGGGGTAGGGGGTGGCGGAGGATGCCCAGCGGACGCCGCCGTCCTCCAGCGGCAGCAGAAGCCCCGCAGCTCCAGTGCCGCTCCAGCGCACCGGCCGTTCACCGGCCCTTATCAGACACTATCACTATATCTCTCTCTTTTATTTCCCTATCTCGCTCTCTATATTCGAACCCCCCAGTGCTGTGCTGTTCATATCCGTCTCTTCAGCGACTGGTCCTTACTTTTCGGTGCACGTGGACGAACAGAGGTGTAGTCTCTGAACGGGTAGCCCCCCCCCCCCCTTTTTCCCTTTCCTTTCTCCCGCGGGTGGACGTGACGCGAGGCCCCCGCGGGGAATCACAAGGCAAATAAATCGAATGCCTTTTACCTCCGGAGGCATCCAGCCCCCCTCCCCCCACCACCCCCACCCCCCGCAGCCACTCGCGCAGGCGCCTCTCACAATATGACGCGGAAGAATTTAATATCCACTCACTCGGCCGCCTGCTCGCCGCGCTCGGCACCGTGCCGAGCCGTACGTGGGGCGTTATTAGCTCCCGTGAGCTTCGGCGGCCCGCTGCTCGCGCCATGGGGGGAGAGGTAGGGGGGATAAATCACACGAGGGAAAAAAAGGAGAGCTCACCTAGACCTCGACTATTCCTTCTCTCTCCATCTCTGCACTTTACACGTACCTTTAGACTATCTCTCTACCTTCTTGAAGTTTTCATACTACATACACAGTCCCTCACTCCTCTAGTCGTTTCGGAACGACACGTCAGACATCCTCTCCTACTCCATCTTCGACCACCTCCGTACTACGGCGGCCATGTCGGCGCAAAGTGTCCCGCCGTGTAACCCGCTTCTCTCTGTCTCTCACTCTCGCCGTCTCCCTTCCTCTGTAAGATCCTCTGCGGGGACATGACACACGAGGTCCATTCGGAAAGACGTGTTCGATGCGCACCGCCCCCGGCCGCCGGCCGGGCCCTTCGCGCTCGTCCGACTCGCCTCGAATCGGCCGCCCCGAGCGGACACAACGCCACACGAAGACGAGAGACGATTATCGGCGGCGACGAATACGCGACAAAACACTTTCACACTCACTTGATTTTTAGAGAACGAAAAACGGGGTATGGGGCCAAAATGTGGCGATATGTTGCTGTGAGAAAAAAAAAAAATGAAAAATAAAAAAAGCACTAACTTTTCAAAACAAAACGAAAATTTTCAGAAAATTTTCACGCAATACTGTTTACAGCACTTTCAGATTGTGGGCATGCAGAGGGCAGACAGCGCCACCGGCGCCCTGCCACAGCGGGCCAACAACAACACACCGTAATATCTCTCTCGCCCGCGTCGCCACCGTCGGCATAGTCCATTTGTACGAAGAGAGAGAGAGAGAGAGAGAGAGAGAGAGAGA